GACCGTAACTCCTCTGAGAAGGCCACACTCATGCTTTTGGATGTGTCTTTCTGTCTGTCTTCCTTCCTTCCTTCTTTCTTTCTTTTTGGTTTTTCGAGACAGGGTTTCTCTTGTAGACCAGGCTGGTCTCAAACTCACAGCCATCTGCCTGCCAGGGCCTTCTGAGTGCTGAGATTAAAGGTGTGCACCACCACCACCCAGTGAGTCTTACTTTCTTCTGAGCACCTCTCTTTCTCTTTCTCTTCCTCTTTCTCTTTCTCTTACCCCTTATGCTTAAGCCTAACTAAAATTAAAATAACTTAATTAAGCCCAACTCTGATTCATAAAAAAATATCCTGAAACAAAGCATTAGATCACTTAAAAATGTAAATTTAAGCATGTTCAAAAATTTAAGAGTACCATGAAAGACTAAAAGGATACAGTATTTCCAGATTACTGGATGAGAAAGAAATCTGAACAACCCGAGGATGGGTCAATAGGAAAGGAAAGAAGATAGCTACTCCAATGGACATAACTGTAAAATAGGATCTTCAAGATGTGTTTAAAAATGCAACATCAAATGCTACATTACATACATACCTAAAGTATCAGGGCACAGAAAAGTCTAGAGAGAAAACAAGGGAAGTGGCACCACCAACGCCTGAAAAGTCAGAAACCAAAGCAGAGAAGCAGCACAGCACAGAACTCGACTGGGAGACACCAGAATGTTGTGCACTCACCAAGAATGTGGGCCACAGCCTGTGCTCCCCAAGACAAACACCTGCTAGGTCACAGAGAGAAAGTGACCTGAAAGCAATGATTCAGGGGACACCAATAAGAGACAATAAGTGTGACGCCAACACTAATTTCTCCTTAGCAAGATTAGTGCTTTATTGTGTATCACACGCTTCAACTGTACCCCACAGAAGGCTTGGGAAGATATAAGCACCAGTCATCTCACAGGCAAGGAAACTGAGGAACAGGCAGAGTGACAGTTATGAAGGCGTTACAGCTTAAGGTTAGGGTTAGGAGGCGAGAAGACGGGTCTGCAGGTGAGTACAGCCACATCAGTACTAAAGAGTCGTCCCCTGGGCTCTCTGCACAACTGCACTGTGATGGCTTATCTTAGTTGTCAAGCTGACATACACATCTAGAAAGAGGGACCCCCAACTCAGGAAGTGCCTCCTTCATCTGCTCTATGGGCACATCTGTAGGGAATTTCCTTTATTGTTAATTGATAGAGGTGGGCCCAGTCTACCAGGGGTGGTAACCTCTGAACTGTACTGTGTTGTGTAAGAAAGCTAGGTGAACAAACCAAGGAAAGGAAGGCAGCAAACACTGCTCCTCTAAGGTCTTGGCTTCAGCTCCTGCTTTGGCTGCCCTCCATGATGGACTTGTAACCTCTAAGTCTGTTCTTGCCTTCTCAAACTACTTCTGACCAGTGTTTCATCACAGAAACTGAGAGTAAACTAAGAGAGAAACTGGTACTAGTAACTGATACTGATGGACCTGATCCGGGCTTTAATGTCTTAGACTGTTTACAGCTTTGGGCTGGAAAACTCATTGAGTGCTCTAGGCTTCATGAATTGTTTGGAGAGAAACAGACAGTGAAGGCCTGGCTAGTGAAGTTTCAGAGGGAAATGTGAGAGTAACTCAAAGACTCCATCAGGGAGTGAGGGAGAGAGGGAAGGAGAAGCAGAAAGTGTGTGTGAGAGAGAGACAGGGAAGACTAGGTTGGCCACAAACTCAGAGACCCACCTGCCTCTGCCTCCTGAGTGCCGGGATGAAAGGCGTGAGCTGGAACTGGAGAACAACTGTGATTAACTGGAGACCAGTTCCACTGAAGTGACAACTGATGACGGTTAGCTGGGGCTAAAAACATCAGCTGTGCTTAGGAAGAGACCAGCATCATGGAGGTGAGATCTTCCAAGTAGTCCCTCAGGATCACACACAGAAGCTATGGTCCAGTGGGGGGACCACTGTGTGAGGGGCACATTAATGAAGGCGCAGCCTCAGTTGCAGTGAAAACCCCAAAACTGAAAGAGTCATGAAAGAGAACCTGAGGCTTAGTGCCGTGTAGGACTGGAGTCTCCCTGATGAGGCCAGGAGAGCCTCAGCTGCAGGAGAGACCTCTGCAAGCTGGAGATACTAGGGCAGTGGGAGACCATCACAGACACAGGCAAATGTGGAAGGGAGTTGGCCTGAACCTAATCTGAGACGAGCTGTGTGTTCTAGGCATGACAGAGGCAAAGAAAGGCAGCTGTCCAAGCCCTTTGGAACCCACAAGAACCAAAATTTCAGACACTGAGCCACAAGATTTTTGGAGCTACACCGCTGGATTTTGGTTTTCCTTAACTGAATTTTTTTTTCCCTTTCCTTTTCTTTTTTTTCCAGACAGTGTTTCTCTGCATAGCCCTAGCCCATTCTGTAGACCAGGCTAGTCTCGACTGGTCTGCCTTTGTCTCCCAAGTCCTGGGATTAATGGCATATGCCATCATCACCTAGCAACTGTGATGGTTTTTCCTTTTGAAATATGAATGTATTTAACTTGGCTTTGATTTTACAGGCGCCTAGAATTAAGACTTTTGACTTTTTAAAGAGACTCATTGAGCCATCTCTTTAGTCCCCAAGATACTGAACTTTAAAGTCCCACAGTGTTTAAGAAGTTTCATCACTTTAAAGTTGTACTGTATTTTATATTCTCATATTAACATAAAATCCTGGGACAAATAAAAAAGGAAAGGTTACGGTTTAGTAGTGATATGTTTATATGTCAAGTTGACAAAGACAAAGAGTAGATTTGTTATACCTAATGCTGGTTGGGTTTTTTTTTTTTGGTTTTTTTTTTTTTTTTGGTTTTTTGAGACAAGGTTTTTCTGTAGCTTTGGAGCCTGTCCTGAAACTAGTTCTTATAGACCAGGCTGGCCTCAAACTCACAGAGATCTGCCTGCCTCTGCCTCCTGAGTGCTGGGATTAAAGGTGTGCACCACCATCACCCGGATTGGTTGTCTTTTTGACATATCTAGAGAGAGGGGACCTCAGCTCAGGAACTGCCTTCATGAAAATGGCCTGTGGGAATGCCAGTGGGGCATTTTGCTGACTGGTACTTGATGGAGGTAGGCTCAGCCCACTGTGGACATTGCTATACTCAGGAGGTGGTCCTGAGCTATAAAAGAAAACTAAATAAGCAAGGAAAGAAAGGAAGTCAATAAGAGTGTTCCTCTGTGGTCTCTGATTTAGTTCCTGCCTCCAGGTTCCTACCTCGATGTCCTATCTTGGCTTCTCTTGATGATGGACCATAAAGTGAAAAATGAAACAAATCCCTTCCTCCCCAAGTTGCTTTCAGTCATACTGTTTATCATAGCAACAAAAAGGTAAACTAGAACCTGGGCACTGGAGGAGCATGAACTCCATGCAGAAATCAGCACAAACAGCATCCGCTAAATATCAATGAAAAGAAGCAGGAAGTACTATAGTCAAGCAGGGCGTTCAGGTGGACACTTGAGAACACTTATCTAGAAAGGCAAGATGACAGCCTCCATGCCTCTGCAAAAAATAGGGTTGTAAGGCACAACTTGTAAGTGTGTCAGGGATTGTACCCACGGCACCCAGGAAGTGCACAGACTGTGTGAGATCAAGAATATACACAGAGTTTAGCTCCAAAAGCTAGACCATTACAAAAACAGAAACAAAATTCACTCCTTACATATGCTTTAAGAAACACTTAAACAAGTAGTATATTGGGTATAAAAAGGAAAGGACACAAGCAATGCCCAGGTCTGGGCTAGGGTTAGAGACCTAGTGGCTTCCAAAGGCATAGGACTGAGTCCAGGCAAGAAACACTATTGCTCCAGAAATGCTGGCAGGCACACGGCCTACAGGGCAGGGCTGATGAAACCTGCTGTCGCCTGCTACTGGTGCTCAGAATCAGCACAGCAGGAGACCGGGGCCCCTCAAAGATGACTGCATTGCTTGTGCACACAAGGGTTGTCAGCGTGGTCCTCTCACCAGAGGAAAGCACACTTATCCCACATTTATCTGCAAGCCCATCCTATTTCTGTGGTGCTGACTATCATTAACTATAGAAATGGACATGTTAAAAAAGATTCCACCATTACTATCTCTTCTAATAGGGCCAAGACCCCCCCACCACGTGCAGCAATCTCATGACTAATGATGCACATTCATCTCCCACTAAGTCGTATAGTGGCTGTTTCCTGTCGACTCTGGCACCATGTCTAAAGTCAGACTGGGGAAAGGACCTCTCTTTCCCAGGAAATCATGGAAAAATCCTTGATGGTGGTGTGCATTGGTTTGTTGCCTATTCCCAACATGTACTGATTATTACATGCTGATCCAATCAGCCATGGAGCAAAAGAAATTCTGTTTTCAGTGGATTGTCTCAGGTTTTATGTAAGATAGAGCTTCCTAGGAATATTGCATCTGCTCCTCTTAACTGTCTCATACACGTTTCCCTGCCAGTGGCAGAGGGCCTCTAAACACAGTGACAGTCATTCAGCCATGGCATTTCCTTACACCTGTTTTAGTAAGACAATGATCCTATTTTATCAAAGGCACCAAAACTGTTAGAACTCACAAACTAGGAAGTTCTGTAGACAGGGATATGGAGTTTTATCAGATCCTTCTATGGCACTTCTCTCGAAATGATTTTTTGTTTGTTTGGTCTGGTTTTCTCAGCTGATAATGTGGCAAATAAGACACGGAGAGTTCAACATTGCACGCCCACTTCCCTTCATGGTGCTGACGGGTCGCTTCTCTTGGGGGCACAGCAGAGAAGGTACCGAACCACCAATAGTGAGTGTTTCCATGGATGTAGAAAACACAAACTGACTGTAAATTCTGTACGTCTGAAATGCTCTACAGTCACCATGTATTGCTTTGATTATTGAACAAATAAATAGGAATATAAAGAAAAGTTAAGGAATTAACAGGAGGAAAACTTTATGATATGCACACAAGGGAATGAACTGATGCCAGGTCTCCAGAGGAGGCATTGTCACCTGCTCGTCACTCCTGTGGTAATCGTTGTCCTCCTCCTGCTTCTCTTCTGCTGTCTCTTTATTGGAACTGTCGTCTGCTTTGGTTTCACCTTTTAGCACAAATAGAAAATGTTGTACAGGTTGAAATATCTCTAATCCAAAATTCAAAAGTTCTAGTATGTAAAACTTTTCGAGGTGTAAGTGTAAACTTCTATACTTAACCCCATATGACAGGCTGTATGTAGAAAAAGGCAGAATTAAAATATTATATGCAACTTTTCCAAAATGAAACACTTTTGGCTCCAAACATTTTAGATGAGCAAAACCCATATTAAGAAATCCAATGTTATAATAATACTTGTAAAAGTTCACAGTATATTAAAAATGATGCTGACATTCACTCTACTGAGAGCACGTATACAAAGAGCCCAGTGATAGCAGTTAAAACCATTCTGCGTGTCAGCTAAGGCACTAAGCAACTCTGTGGTAGGACGGCCTATGATTGCAGCTGAGTGAGGCAGGGTTTGGACTAATGTCTTGAGGGACTCAGAAGATGGAGACAGTGACCAGAACTGGTGAGCACAGCAGAGATAAGCCTCCAGGATCTCTCAGCACTCACCACAGCAACCTTAGTCCTCTAAGAAGTCTAGCTCATGGAGTCTTACTGTTGAACACATACTTGGTACCAGATTCCCACTTCCATCCACCTAACCGACTCCCGCCCAAGCCTAGTCTGGCTCCCACAGGGACCTGGGTACCAAGTCTTCTTGGGCTATTAAGCATATACAGGGTGGTCTTGAGATTTCTCAGGAACTTACGTGGTCCCACTAGCAAAGTGCCAGTACTTGAGATTTGAATAATTTATTAAATACAGACTTTAAAAGCACCAATTAATTTTATGCTCAAATCCAACTGGCATTTGACCTCTTTATCATAAAGTAAGCAAAGTTAAAATCTTATCTTAAGGATATGTACCTTCTACTGTTTTTCCTAGGCCCTCTGTCCAATTCTGTTCTCTTCCACACGACCTCTAGGCATTTTCTATATATCTTGTAGTCTAACCCACATGTCCAGCTACCAGGGTTGATGAAGATCCTTTTCAACAACAATCAGAAAATGGACAAAACCTCCTAAGCCTTGAGAAAAAGTGTTCTGTGAGAGAAAGCCTGATAAATGAGCCTCTGAATGGCATTGTGGCCTAATGCAGCTACTCACCATTGCGGGGATCTAAGTGCTGTTTTGCTGAACACGCCTCCCCCTTGATGTCACCTGGCACCTCCATGCCCAGTTTGTGATAGAATTCCCTCTGTTTCCTCATTTCCGCTATTAAGAATGGAAACAATTTTAATGTTCAATAGGAAAGGACTTAAATAGTAAAACTGCTCACTAATGTTACACAGAGAAACTTGCAGATTAGATGACGGGTCTGAAGGATGATACAGTAAGAAAGTAAGCACAGGTGGGAATGGGAACTGTAATGCCCATGTTGCAGGTATCTGAGAACACTGAGACGGGACACAGGGAGGAAGAACTGGGGCAAGATAGGCTCTGGAGATGTAGGATCCTGCTCCAGGGCTACAACACAACCTCCTCAGTCCTCTAGGACAGCGTGGGGCTATTCATCACCTGGAGCGTGAAAGATCCTATGGAAGCAGTTTGAGGGACTCCCCAGACTGTGACAGATCCTAAGGAAGTGGCTCAGATGACCCTTCATACATCACCACTAACAATGTGGCTGCTCGTGCTCCCACTGTCCCTATAGCCATGATGGTTACCATCTACAGCCATCTGGCTGCCATCAAGTGCAGAAGAGCTCTCACTGGGCTGAGGGTAGTGTATGCACCTGAAGACAAGAACATACCCAGAACAACCCTGTCCCAGAAGCCTGCATTGGTGTGCCAAGGTCCCTTGGTCACATCAAAGATTACAACAGTGGCCAGTGGCCATGTCTGTCTTGTACTGGGTGAAGACTGCCCCCAAATGGCTGGAGGCAACAGTGGCCATGAAAGAAATGTAAGAAAGAAAGGAAACACAAACCTCCAGCTTACAGAGAAAGCTTATTCTTAAAGACAAGCATCTAGTCATGAAGCTGTCCAGGGTTTCAGATTATTGTGCTTTTTGGAATCACTATCCAATAAAGCACCATGGTCTGTCCTTAAATGATCAGTATACAAGCCCCATTAGCTAGACCAGGCTGATACTTTACACTTAGAGGAAATTATCAATTACAAGAGACAAAAACAACTTCTGACTCTCAGCAAAAGCTCCATCCATGATACTAAAATACAAATTCAAATGACATGCATCAGATCCTGCTCAGAACATACAGACAGCAAAGGAAACTTAAAATGACTTGTTCAAACCAAAATCTACAAGTAACTCAATAAAAGACACTTTACATGTGGTCAGCCAAGAAGTGTTTTCTCTTTCTTTTGGTTTTTTGAGACAGGGTTTCTCTGTGGCTTTGAGGCCTGTCCCGGAACTAGCTCTTGTTGACCAGGCTGACCTCGAACTCACAGAGATCCGCCCGCCTCTGCCTCCAGAGAGCTGGGATTAAAGGCGTGTGCCACCACCGCCTGGCAAGAAATGCTTTCTTAAATAAAGTTTTTAAAATTTTACTTATTTATTTTTTAAGACAGGGTTTCACTAGGTAGCACTGGCTGGCCTGGAACTCATTGTGTAAACCAGGTTAGCCTCTAAATCACAGAGATTAGCCTGTTTCTGCCTCCTGAATGCTGGGGTTAAAAGCCGTGTTGTTTGTAGGCTGACCAGTGTGCAGCTATTTTACTTTCTGAACTTCAGGCAAGCTTTGTTTATTACAAATATCATGCCCGGCCTTATTAAACTTTTCATCTGCACATTTGCCTTTCCTATAGAAATGGAACCTGTTCTGGACACGTCCAGCCTGAATAGATGCTTTGCAAAACCTGACTATACACATATGAAGATGTATAAACTGTGTACCTGGCCAGAAAAGGAGCCCTTTTAGAGTGGAGGGAAGGAAGGACTCAGTCCAAAACATATTCTTGGATCAGAGAGATGGTTCAATGGTTAAAGACGCCTGTCAGCAAGGCTGACAATCTGAGTTTGAACTGTGACCCACATGGTGGAAGAGAGAACTAATTGCTACAAGTTGTCCTGACTTCTATATCCAATCATAGCACATACATCAGGGAATACATGCATCACCACATGTACATACAAAATAAACAAATGAAGAGTGGTTCCCATATATAACTGTATGAAAGGCAGTCCTGAAACCAAAGCATGGAACAGTTTTTGACAAAGGGAAGTCACCCAAAGTAGCCTCAAAAAGAGTTGTGACCTTAATACCAAAGACCTAGAGATCAATGATAAGGAAGTCACCAAAGACAGAAATAACTCAGCATCTACCACCACATTTACTGTCTATTTATTTTTCACCTATCATAATAAAAAAAAGATAAAAATAATAAAATCCCAGCATGGTTTGACACTGAAATGTCTTTTTTTTTTTTTAAGTTGCCATCTCTGGGGCTCTTGGGAGGTGACTGGATAAGGAGAGCACTAATTCCAGTGGGTGACCCGACGGCATTACTGAGAGGTGTGAGCCCACCTGTAGGAAGTAGGTCCCTGGGCAGGCTTCTGAAGAGGAGCTTGCTTCTAGTCCTTATTATCTGTTTGCTCCTCTGTTTCCTGGCCACCATAAAGTAAGCAACTTTGTTCTGCCATTCCCCTTCACCATCATATTCTTCTGCTTTACCATGGCCCACAACCAGATGACTATGGACTTAAAACCCTAAAACAGCACGACAGAACTAGCTCTCTAGGGTGTTTGTCACAGAAACAAACAAACAAAAAGTGTAATATGGCCAATGTCAGGTATATACAGATACAGAAACACAAGCCCATTAATCAATCCCAGCACTTGAGAGGAAAACACAGGTGGATCCCAGTGAGTTCAAGGCCAGTTAGATCCTAAGTACAAACAAACAAACAAAAACCCACCAAAACAAGCAAACAGACACAGAAATTGGAATTTTCTGGCTATATAATATATATATATATATAAAATCACATATATATATATCATTAAAATTTAGTCAACACCACAAAAAATTCTGCTAGTAATCTATCCAAAAGGTAAGCAAGTCAACCTGTAAAAAAGTCTTATTTGTAACACTGGAGAATCACACACAACTTAAGAGCCACATGACCAACATCGGAGCTGAGCCAGTTACATTTGTTCTAAAGTTCATGCTATCTCCTCTGTTCAACAGCATCCCTACAGAGGCTGTGACTATTTCAGCACCGTGGAGAATCAACAGGGAAAGTAAAACCAACAGGTGCCTCATGGGACCAGCGTAGGGTCACTTACCCCAAGGAATCTTATGCAGCCACTGCAAACAGTGCCTGTGGAGACGCACCATGACGGAGTTATGGAGAAGACAGACTGTAAATCATGTAAACGCCCACATACTCAAACAGAACAAAGCAAAGCAAAGCACGGGATTCTCTTGGAATTTAGAAGCAGAATGGCACCTGAGACTCTACAACTATTCCCAATAAGACACTTTGCCAATGAGTTGACTTGAATTGTGTGTCTGCTAGTCTCAGTTAAAATCACACAGTGAGAGCGACTTCAATACCCCACTCTCACCAACAGACAGGCTATCCAGACAAAAATTAAACAGAGAAGTGCTGGCACTAACTAGTCTCATAAACCAAATAGATCTAACAGATATTTACAGAACATTTCACCCAAACATGAAGGAACATAGCTTCTCAGTAGCTCTAAAATTGAACACACACTTGGACACAAGCAAGTCTCAGCAGATACAAGAAAACACCCTGCATCCTACCAGACCAGCACAGACTAAAGCTGGGTATCAACAACAGAAAGTGTATAAACTCATGGAAACTGAACAACTCACTACTGAATGAAAAATGAGCCAAGACAGAAATTAAAAACTTTTTGTGGTTTTTGGAGACAGGGTTTCTCTCTGTAGTTTTGGAGTCTGTCTTGGAACTCACTTTGTAACCCAGGATGGCCTCTAACTCAGATATCTGCCAGTCTCTGCCTCCTGAGTGCTTGGATTAAAGGCATGCACCACCATTACCCAGCAGAAATAAAAAACATTTTAGAACTGAATGAAAATACAGCATACCAAATGTATGGGACACAATGAAGGCTATTCTAAGAGGTAAGTTCATAACACCCAGTGACTATGTTAAAAAACCGAGATAGGCAGTGGTGGCGTACACCTTCAGTCCCGGCACTCGGGAAGCAGAGGCAAGGGGATCATCTCTGTGAGTTTAAGGCCAGTTTGGTCTACTGAGCTACTTCCAGGATAACCAAGGCTACATAAAGAAACCCTGTATCAAACAAACAAAAACTCAAACGAACCCCCCCAAGTCGGAGAGCCCTCATATTACTAATTTAATGGCACACTTGAAAGCTCTAGTTAAGAGGCTTAATTTGACATTAGTGCAGCCATGATAGGCTGTAGACTAACAATACTGGGATTAGGCCTCACCCTTACAAAACCAGGAAAAACCACAGACTGTACCTTGGGGGGGAGGGGGATCAATCAGACTTGAGACAACAAGTACTAGCTACTCCAGAACATTAAGAATAGCTTACATAATCTGTACATAGATTGTCAATTTCCCTGCAGCAATGCCAGTGCTTGACAAAACTTGTTACCTCACTCCTGCCCAATCTGAATCCAGAATTTCCCTCTCCTCCCCTATCCTTTATTCCTTAAAAACCCTGCAATAGCTGAGCGCAATGCTCTCCCTAAACCAATTGCTGTGTCAGAATGAATGGTGGGCCCAAGCTTGGGCTTGCAATAAGGGTTCTCTGCTTTTGCATATGAACTTGAACTTCTGGTGGTCTCTGGGGGAAACATGATGCAGGTATAACGCTAGAACAAAACAAGGAATAATACATAAAAGGAACAGATGAAAAGAAATAATCAAACTCTGGGCTCAAATCAATAAAATAGAAAAAAAATAATGAAACAAAGTTGGCTTCTTGAAAAAAAAAATCAAAAGATTTACAAACCCAAATTAACTAAAAGGCAGAGAGAGAAGATCTAAATGAATACAATTAGATCTGAAAAGTGGGACAAAACAAAAGACACGAAGAAAATGCAGAGAATCATAAGGATATACTTTAAAAATCTGAACTCAACCAAATGGAAAATTAAAAGAAATGCGTAATTTTCTCAATTAATACCACCTACTAAAGTTAACTCAAGATCAGATAAGCAAATTAAACAGACCTATAACCCCAGTGAAATAGAGGCAATCATTAAGTCTCCCCCCCACCAAAAAAACAAAACAAAACAAGAAGAAAAAAAAAAGAAAAAAGGAAAAACCCAGGGCCAAATGGTTTTAGCACAGAATTCTACCAGACTTTCAAGGAAGAATTAATGCAATATTCCTCAGATTACTCAATAAAATAGTAACAGAAGGAACAAATCTACTTCCCCTATGAACACATAAAATTTATAAATAAACTACTTGGAACCCAAATTCGAGAACATATCAAAAAGATCATCTACCATGATCAAGTAGGCCTCATCACAAAGATGCAGGGATGGTTCAGTGCAAAACTACACAATCATCTCATTAGATACAGAAAAGGCTTTACACAAAATCCAACACCCTTTCATGATAAAAGTCCTGTGAAGACCAGGGATGCAAGGTATATACCTCAACCCAATAGAGGCGATTTACAACGAGTTCACAGCCAACACCAACCTAAACAGAGTGAAACTCAAAACATTTTCACTAAAATCAGAACAAGACAAGGTTGTCCACTCTCTCCATATCTATTCAATACAGTACAAGAAGTCTTAGCTAGAACAGTAAGACAAATAAAAGAGATTAAAGAGATACAAACAGGAAGAAGTCAAAGTATTTTTATCTGCAGATGATACCACTGAATACATAACTACCTTAAAAATTCTTCCCGAAACTCCTACACCTTCAACAAAGTAGTAGGATACAAAATTAACAAGCAAAAATCAGTGATCATAGCATACAGAGATCTTCATGTACTTGGCTACATACTTATAAAATTCTATTGCAAATGCTTATGAAGATCTCAGCATTTTATCGCGAGGTGTTGCTGTTTCCCAAAACTAACACAGCCTACTGATCACAGGAAGACAATGGAGAATCTAGAACTAAGAACAGACATGTGGCAAATGGGGATGATGCTGAGAAAGGGTCCTGGGTACAAGAGCTAAACTCACCTTCCTGGAGGCCTGGTACCAGCTTGTAAACAATGTCCTGCATGGTTCTGTCATGACTGCAAAAAGAGAACAGGCGATGAGTAATTTCCATTACCAATGTAAATGCTATAATTATTTATATCTTCTATTTAACAACTTGAAGTTAGATTTTCCTTCTAGTTTACAATGAGAAACGTTCTAAAAGTTACCTAGGGCTTGAATTGAGGCATCATTTAATTTAGGTTTCAGCTACTTGGAATGAGAAGGTCACCCTGGACCTGGGGACAGTGCCTCCACCCCGCTGGACAAAGGGCTAAGCTCAACTTTCTGAACACGGGCAAATATGAAGGTGCAGAGCTACTTTATCTATAGTAAACTATATAGTTTGCCTTTTCTAAGCATAAAATATAATGATGTCAAGTAATTTCTTTTCTTGAATAAAGTGATAGAGAATTTCTTAATTTTCAAATCCATTTTAACCTCCAATCCTTATTGTATAAGACTGTATGAATCCAGTAGCTGGCCAATGATTCCACTCCAACAAATGCACAGGAATCTAGCCAATCTGGGCTCAGCTCAGTGGCTACTCATGGGCAAGTTCTAGTGTAACTATAGCCACCTCACTGCACAAACCAACTTCTTGTGCTTTGGAAGCTCTTGGCTATGGGGCCCAACTGTATAATGAAAGGTTACACAGAGCTCCAAACCTCCTTTCTACTACCTAGACCAGGATGCATGCACTCACGTGCAAATTTAGACTTTATAGATTGGGTTTTGCCAACTTGGCACAAACTGGAGTCACCTGAGAAGAGAGAACTTCAATTGAGGAATTGCCCCCACCAGACGGGGCCTGTGGCTGGGGGTGGAGGGGTATCTTAATTAGTGATTGATATAAGAGAGCCCAGCCCACTGTGTGAATGTCACTCCTGAGCAGACAGTCCGAGACTGTATGGGAAGGCAGGTTGAGCAGGCCATGGAGAATAAGCCAGCTCACAGGAGCAGGGATGAATTGTTACCGAATTGTTACCTACAAGAATAAGCTAAATAAACCCTTTCCTTCCTGGGTTGGCTTTGGTTAGTGTTTTATTACAGCAACAGAGACGCAAACTAAGACAGGGCCCTCCATGTATTTGATGCCCTTAACATCTTTTACTACGCCATGTAGCTTCTGCTAAAGCTCACAGATCACAACCATGCTGAGTGGAATTAGAAGCCAGAGCTGATACGATGCCAGGCTTTGCCTACCTTGGAGGCCAAGCAAGGGGGCAAGTTGGAAACATAGCACAGACTACTTTTTGGATGGAAGGTTCTCAAAATGGAGCTGTTTCTTTAAAGTGAACATGCTCACACTCCAGGTTCACAGCGGCATTTCCAACACTCTCTGCAAGGTCTCTGCCACCTGCTTGGATCATCCCTGCTAGTCCTGGTTACATATCTTTCCACCCTAAATCTTGAAACGTAAATGTTGAAGCCAAGAAAACATAATACCATAGGGCCCACAGGCTTCCTCTCCTTGCCCCTGTAAATAGAGAATCAGACAAGAGGTGGGGGTAGATGAAACCAAATCATGGGCAGAGGATGGCACCAGCAGAAGTAGCATCCTAGACAGTTTCAGATGGAACCCAGACACTGCCAGTAAGAGAGGCACTAAGAGAGTTGGGGATATAGATCAATTGGTAGAACGCTTGCCTTGCATTTACAAAGCTCTGGGTTTGACCCCTAGCACTGCACAATGGAGTGTGGGAGAAGATACTTATAAACTCAGTTCTTGGGAGGTAGAAGCAGGAGGATCAGAAGTTCAAGGCTACATAAAACCCTGTGTCAATTAAGCCAAAGAGAGAGAGAACCTTTTAGGGGTCAAGGGTTTATGGCAAGCTCATACTATGAGTCCCAACACTCAGGCCTAGATACCTCCCGGCCCCTTTACCTATCCAACACCCGGTCTATTGCTGTGCTTCTGCCCCATATCTCTTTTTTGTTTGCATGACAATCTAAGCTTCCATGAGAGACCTGCCCACGATAGCTCTTTAGTGTTTTGCCTCCCACAGCAAACTCCAGCAACCCTAAAGAGGGCAGCAGTGTCCCCCAGCCTCCAACTCCAAGTCCTAAGGACGGCCCCCATTCCTGTCAGCAGTACTTCAAGTGGGGCACCTGTTTCTGAGCTCTACAGAACTGCACCCCAGAGAGAGAGCAGGTGACCCGGCTTGAGCTATCACACGAGGACAATAAAAGCAGAGCAGAGCCCTGAGACAGGTGGTATCACAAGGAAGTTCAACAGTGAGTAGATGTACGGGAAGGCATCAAGCTGAGGGATAACTATGGTAGTGGGTGAGATGTGCCTAGAGCCACCACAGTGACAAAACCAAAACCCTATCACTATACGGGGTTTGGCCCTCTATAGGATAGGAACTTGGTTCAAGAGTCAATGGGAATTTGGAGAGAAGTTCCTTAAATCAGATGTCCCCACCCATCCCACACATGAGACACTGGAAAGGACTCCGGACAGTAATTAACACCAAGAACTGCTAGACATTTTCATACGTCCACCACAGAGGACACACAGACCAGGAGGTCTTCTCCAGAGATTCTAAGAAGAGATGATATGGCATTGAAGTTAGGTACACAGAAAACACACTCTCATCTCAGGGTGGGAAGTAGAAACAGGGGCCTCAGTAGTGCTGTCTGGAAGTCTGGAGAGGCTTCCAAGGTCAGACAACTCAACTTAACTGTACTGCTCCCAGCAGTACATGTGACTGTGAGCTATGACTGTGACATGCTGTACAACTTTAAAGTGAAAAACACCTCTTCCTCTCAGTTCATCTCCTCTGATTCCCTCATGCCAAATGTATCTGTGACTTAATTTCCTTCAGAGCGACCTCTGAAATCAGAAATTTTACTTACAGGCCTTTGCTTCTCGGCTCAAGTTCCAGCCCAGGGGCAGGTTACTACTCTAATGAAAGACAGGTCTGGAGTCTCTTCTACTTCAAACTGTTAGTGTAAGAAAACTTTTAAGATTCCAGTTGTTCTCATGGTCCCTCCAGGACAAGTGCTACTAGATATCATTGGTACGGCTCTGGTCACCTGCAATGTAGTATCTGGGGGCCAAGAAGAAGATGGCCACTACATACAGATGTATGGACATATGGCCAGGGAGCACTAGCCCACGCTGTTACTCACCCGATATACTGTAGTGGGTGGCTCTGATGGATCACGATCCTGCAAGTGGGGCAGGTATTATTCTCCTCCAGATATTTCACCAGGCAGCTCCTGCAAACTATCCAAAGGGAGAGGATGACAGCAACCCAGAAGAGAGCTGCTAGCTGGTGCCATGCCCAGCCAACTCCAAGAGGGCTAAGAAGGTACTTGCATAAGTAACCTCCTCTACATAGCTCCTGATTTCTGAAAAAAAAATGTGCCTTTGGGTTGCACTGCGCGGGTACCACCTGTTATATACTTCTGGTCTAGGAACTAACTAGAAACGCCAAGGAATGGTTGCCCAAGCCACTATGTGGCAAGATCATGAGAATATAACTAATATTTAAAAATCTGAAGTTTGGCCCAAAAGATGACAAAACTGTCTTTTATAGCAAAACTACGTAAAATTCAGTGAAACTGCCTAATACAAAATTGTACCACCAATTCCTAACAATACAATTAATCTTGGCCTAAAAATTCTTTAAAAGTAGAAAACATTTTCAAAACACAAAATGTACAGGACAGAGGTCATATGTGTTGGTCACTAAATGCACTTTCATGAAGTGGTCATGTCTCTAGGATATCCACATAGGATATTCATCTTCCAGAGAGACAAAAAAATTAAAAAACAACAACAAAAAAAAACGAAAGAAGGCTGGAGAAATGGCTCAGTGGTTAGGAGCACTTGGCACTCTTGCAGAAGACCGAGGTTCAGTTTCTAACACTCACATGTGAGCTGTGTGCAACTCTAGCTCCACAGGACCCAATGCTCTTCTGCTCTCTGCTGGCACTGCAAGCATGCAGTTCACATACAAACACACAGGCTAAACACTCATAGATATAAAAAGTAAAAAATAACTAAAACAACAACAACAACAAAAAACCCTATCCTGAACACAACCAGGCCTGACAAGCAGAATGAGTTACAGGCAATAGGCACCATGCTAACCCTTGAAATTCCACAGGGGCTTGACTATTACAACACAAACATCTCCCTGCTAAAAAAAGAGTGTCACCACACCAGTGGTCAACCTGGCAGACAAAAGAAAAAAGCAGCTTTCCTTTCCTTTGTTCAGTTTTCCCGACAGAAGCTTCCCTCCAGGGAGTTATCCACAGCATTCCTAGTTCAAGGTAAGTTTTCCAACCACCCCTCGAGAGCTTTGTTCTTCTCCTGGCCCTGTTGCCCTGGGCCAGGCTAAAGGAATAAGGAACATGCTGGAGTAGCCCCTCCCCCATTCAGATCAGAGAAGAACTGGCTGTACTCACATGTGTGCAAACACTCAGTCACTGTAGTTGCATCAATGAGGTAGCCGCTGCACAGGCGGCAAGTGATGTGGGCGTTTATGTCCCAGAGTTTAATCTTCCTGGTCAACATCTTTGGCTTCTGCAGGAGAAAGACACTGAAGTGTGATGACTAATCTAGGTTTCAACTTGACTACATCAGAATTAACGAAAACTCAAGTGGCTGAATACACCCTGTGAGGAATTTTTTCTTAATCAGGGTAGAAAGACCCATTTTTCTTTCGAGGTGGAAAGATCCACTTTTAATCTAGGCCAAAAAAGGGCATGGAAGAAGGAAGTTTGCTCTCCCTGTTTGCCTGGTCTTGTCGGCAAGTCCATCCCTGCACTGGGGCTGGCGCCCACTTCTCTGGGATTCTAGTGTATACTGAAGACCAGCTAAGATGTCCAGCATCAGGGACTGAAAAACTACTGAATTCTTGGGCGCTCTATTGGAAGATAGCCATGTTAGCGTAGCTACATCAGTCTGTCTGACTGATATCACCAGGTAGGTATCTCTTCCATTCCAGCTTGCCTTTCCTCTACTCATAGACATAGCAAGTGTAGGCGCCCATCCCATCCTTTTCCTTGGACATGTGGCCCATCTCTTTTCATCTTATTCATTGAATAATGATCCATCTTAGGCCTCAGTGGTAAGTGGAGTCTGAACCTCAACTCAAAGAACTGCCACTAGCCACAGTACTGTCTGGCAGAAAGATAGAGTCTACCAGGCGGTGATGGTACATGCCTTTAATCCCAGTACTAGGGAGGCAGAGGCAGGCGGGTCTCTGTGAGTTCAAGGCCAGCCTGGTCTACAAAGCTAATTCCAGGACAGGCTCCAAAGCTACAGAGAAACCCTAGCTTGAAAAACAAAACAGAAAAAGGCTAGATTAGGTCCTATGGATCCAACTTAATCACCAGCCACTTTGATCTGGATCTGTCATATGGCTTTTCAACATTACAGCTGGTATCTAGGTACAAACCCACCTCAGGAATTTAGATATCCTCACCCTTGTACTTTTTATGAGAGGGAATACTCCCATACCAAGTCATCACTTAGACTCCGCCGAGCTCCAGACTCACCAACTGTCCCTGAGCATAGTACAACCACCTCACTGCCTTTTAGACATGATATTCAGGACTGACCATGGCCATACAGCCCCAGTCCATCAGAATCATTTCTAGCTGTGCACCTCTCCTAGGCAACTGACTGATCAGTACACATACCTACCCTAGCCTGAACTAATGGTACTCCAGAGAGCCAGCATGCACAGAGTATAAAAAGAGCCAAACTCCTCATTCCTCAGACAGAACCCAGACCTTACCTCCTCTGGATGTCTGTGAGTCCTTCCTCACCCGGTGGCATGGAGGCTTCAGGCCACCAAGTGGATGCGGTGATCCCTCCTTACTCTGAGTTCTGGCGGGCTTCTGCACCTTCCTTCTGTCCCTTGTTCCTTTTCCATTTTCTAGCACAAAAATATCACTGTTAATTCAAAGCACACTGATGTCAGTCCTGCACACAATCCCACATTAAACTCAACTACATTTTAGCTATGCCCTACATATTAAACCATGGGACAGGGCACACTAGAAATGCTGGGAGACAACCAAGAACCACAAATAACTCCAGAGACACTGCTAGAGACCAAACTTCAAGGAAATATGAGGTGGACACCATATTGAGCCATAGGCAGTCAGAAAGGAAAATCAGCTTCAGCTATGCTTACCTGTGAATGATAGCCTGGAATCGGGGCTACATCGTGAAGTCTGTGGAGAAGCAGAGACGGGTGTCACCATGAGAGGATCTTGTCACGCCCTCTACCCTCTAGCAATTCTCAAGTACCATTTTGTTAAACATGTCTGTTCATTTACTTGCTTTAAGTGAGAATGATGGTAAAGAAGGTGGCTCTGCTGTGAGGAGACACCTCCCAAAGTTCCTGAGCCATGCCCAATCCAGAGCAAATATACACTCCTTGCTTTGGGGCCCAAGAGGCAGGGTATCTGTGGAAGCTCCTTGTGACAGTGGACTTCAGGGGTGACCTGAGAAACAGCAGGAAGGCAATGAGCAGCATGTTGTTGTTCACTTCACTTGAAGCCCGCGATTTTCACATACTCACACCCAGACTAAGTCATTGTCTCTCCGAGTGAATGTGCCTTGGGTCCATGTGGGCACTGTGCCATGGTTAGGTTCAGTGGGCTGAGGCCAGTGAGCCAGGTATTCATACCAGGACGTGGAGAGGAGCAGCAGCTAGAGAAGTCCTGGCAGAGCAGTCTGAGGCCTCCCAAGAAGCTGCAGGCAGTCTGCTTCTGGACTGGGAGCCTGGCTGTGAATTCCTTGGTTCAGGTGTCTTTCCATGTAGGAACAGGCATTGCTGGTGAAATCTTCACTAGAACAGTCCCAGAGCTCCAGGTATTTGTAGTTTAAGGACTGATTACATAGAACCTGGAGATGGTGTACCCTAACATGTCCTGGAATGAACTTACTCTTAAATGCAACTAAGATAATTTCAACCTTTAAAAATTTTCCAGAACTTCACATTTTTAAAGCTTTTTATTTATGTGCACATGTGTACATGCAAGCGTGCGTCTGTGTGTATCTGTCTGTCTGTCTGTCTGCAGGAATGTATATAAAGTGTGTACAGGTGTCTTGTAGAGGCTGAAGCTGAAGTTACAGGCTGTTATGAACTGCTTAGTATGTGTACTAAGAAGGGAGCGTGGGTCCTCGGGGAGAACAAGTACGCATTCTTAGCCACTAGGCCTCCTCTCCAGCCTCAGAACTACATTTATTTATTAACTAATCAACCCAGGAAGCTTGTACAAAAGGAAGAAGAGACCTGAAAAGGTAGAAAAGAGTGTGTCCTATCAGGTAAACCTAGGTAGGAAGCATAGAGAGGAAGAGGTAGAGCTGGCTCAAGGCCAGGCCTGTCTTAAACTAGCCCCTGCCTAGTATGGAGGTCACCAACCATATAAAATTGCTGACCCTTGAAACTTGGCAGCTCCTGTAACAAAAGAACCAGAGTGTGGCATTAGGGTTCCACTATGCACCCTTGGCTGGCCTAAAATTCCCTACAGACCCCAGGCTGACCTCAAAGTTACAGTGATTCTCTTGCTTCAGCCTCTCAAGTGTTGGCCTTATAAGTATAAACCACTAAAACACAGCTTTCTAATTGTATTGAACTCCAGCGCTGGAATTATTAAAGGTGTGTGCCACCACCTCTGGCTTACATATTTTTTGTTTGTTTGGTTTGGTTTTGAGACAGGGTTTCTCTGTAGCTTTGGAACCTGTCCTGGAACTAGCTCTTGTTGACTAGGCTGACCTTGAACTCACAGAGACCCACCTGCCTCTGCTTCCAGAGTGTTGGAATTGAAGGCGGGCACCACCACTGTACAGCATGTGTAATTTTTTTAAATAAAGTTTGTATGAAATGGATAAATTCCCAACAGGAGGTGGTGGTGGTAGTAAAAACCTGAATTGAGAGTAGTAAAGGAAACTCAAAGTATTCTCCATTATAGAAGCTGAATAAGTAGTCACAAAATTTTCTTCATGGGTCACTGGGCAGAGGTGGAACACACCGTTAATCCCAGCATTTGGAAGACAAAGGCAGGTGGATCTCTAAATTCAAGATCAACCTGGTCTATAGAGCGAGTTCCAGAGCAACCAGGGCTACACGGAGAAACCTGGTCTCAAAAACCCAAAAGATAAAAATAAATAGATAAAATAAAATAAAACTCTGGGTCTGTGAGTCTACTGAGAGCAAATCACCCTGCAGGTGTAAAAGTGTCTGGGGCCAGAACATGCACTTGTCTATCTTGTACAAGGTTCTGAGTTCAGATTCCAGTACCATGCAGTTAAAGAAGAGATTGCTAACTCACTTTAATTTTTAAAAACAATTTTATGAGCATTGGTGTTTTGCTTGCATTCATGTCTGTGTGAGGGTGCCAGACCTCCTAGAACTGGAGTTACAGACAGTAGTGAGCTGCCATGTGGGTACTGGAAACTGAACCCGGGTCCTCTGGGAGAGCAGCCAGTGCTCTTAACTGCTAAGCCATTTCTCCAGCCCCACTAATTCACTTAAACTACTAGCCATACACCAAACTCTATAGTAAGGCGAGATTTGGAAGAGAACTATCAGACCTACCTTACTCTAAGCAGAGCATTGGCCACCCCCATCTGTCATTATATAAAGGTAGAGTCGTCCAGGACCAAGTTAGATGTATCCCAGGAATAGAGGTAGGCAACAATACAAGGAAAAACATCACTTACAATAAAGGTAACAGTAGACTAACACGTGATCCTCCCAACAGACACGTAAAAATTATTTTATAAAGCACCTATTCATTATTTTTAGAAATCCTAAAAGATGGTAAGGAAATACTTTTAACCCCGTTGAAGGAGACACTAACACGATTATTCAACAACTCAGATGTGAACAACTACAGCTCCACAAGCCTAGCTGAAGGTGACTAAAATGCCCACCAGCAGGCAGCCCACCAGCTAGAGCCCCACACAGCAGCCGCTCCTCGGCAGTCAGGAAAGGGTGCTCCCAGCTATGCAGGGCTTCATGTAGAAGGAAGCTGCCCACAGAGAACGTATCTGGGCAAGGAGGCCTTGAGTCCCTTCTACACAATAAACTGATGAAAAGAGTATCTTACGATTTAAAACAAATGACAGACATATACCTAGTGGTGGGGTGACACCAGACAGATCACACTCACCCACGATCCCTCAAAGAAATGTTAACATTCAACACGGCATGTGGTGCCACGTTCAGATGCTGAGTAGGAGGTCAGGGGTATTTGTTACCTTTTCTAGTTCAAGATTACGATATATGGCTCTATTATGAACTGAGGCACACATATCTATAACATATTAGAATTATAATAGGTCCTCAGGATGGAGAGGTGTTGCTGTTCTTACTGTCAAAGGACCAGCCATGCCAAAGTACTATTTGGTGTTTAGAGAGAAACTTTGTCCGCTTCTACTCTAAATGATGAAGAGATTCACCAAAAACCCAAAATATTCCAATTAAGTGTATTTCAGCTGATCAACTTTATTACTAAACTAGGAAGTATAAATTAAAAATCCAATGAAACTCACAAAATGAGTGCTGGTGAGTAGCAGGCCATGTACTAAGTACCATGTGTGTACAGTGTTGAGGAAAAAGGATGGCATTCTGTGATAAAAGCAACACACACAATGCCAACTTTTACCAGTATTTATCAGTACCTCTCTACCATACCATGTGGCCATATGGCCAGCCTGGGGTCCTCTCCAGGCCTTCTAAGAATCACCTATTTTGGTTTCTTGCTATGTTGCACATCATCACGTGCGTGATCACAAAAACAACATGCATGTCAATACAGCAAGCTATAATAGTGGGATGGAAACTACCACGTAGGCAAGCAGGCAGATCGGTTACTTGTCTTCATCTACTGCAGGATAAGTGCTGTGTGCTGTATTCCCAATGACTAAAATGCCCCGAGCTCATTTATGAATGAGGGAATGGGAATACAGGGACTCATCTTTTTTATAAGCAGTGTCCCCGCTATGGCAGGCCTGGGCCCAGAACACTTCTTCCTCTTCTGCACACTGCCTAGCTTGTGGGTACCACCTAGCAACCTTCTTAAAGATGGGAGTTCACATGCCCTAACTTTAGTCAACACCTAGTCAGAATCTCAATTTATCCCAGTTCTGTGATATGCAAAAATATGAATGAAAACTAAAGCCGGTAAATATGGTCCATAAGATATTATGTTCTACACATAAAAGTGCCTGCTGCCAAGCCTGACAACCCGAGTTCAATCCCTGGGACCCACATGGTGGGAAGAAAGAACCAACTTCCACAAGTTGTCTTCACAATGTCACAAAGGTCACCCAAAGTAAATAAACAAAAACATAGCTTTAAAATGTTTTTAAAACTAGAAAATAAAACTTCTCTTAATCCTGGCTCAAGGTAATGTAATAGAAACTACTGGCCATGCAGTGCAGGTGTTCCTTACATATCTCTAGAAGAAAGAACACCATTAAATGGTTGGCAAATGTTGTCCTTGTCCTGGGAATGTAGTTCAGTTGGTGATTGCCTGCCTAGCACGAACAAAACCCTGGATTCAATCCCAAGCACCATACAGAGTCAGGCATGGTGATACATGTCTGCAATCCCAGCACTTGGGAGATGTAGGCAGGAAGATCAGAAGCTCAAACTCATCCGTAGCTATATGAGTTTGATGCCACTCTGCGTTACATAAGACCCTGACTCAAAAAAAAGAAAAGAGGAAAGGAGAGGAGAGAAAAGAAAGATGTTGTCCTCATTAAAATCAGTAACACAAGCCCACTCTCCTGTGGGTAAGATCTAGATAGAGACATCATCAGACCTATGTCTTAGGCACCAAGGATCTGATCAAATTCCAAGTTGATTCCCAAACAGTTTAGGTCTAACACATAAAACTAAAAGAATAGTTTTTAACAATTAGAAAAACAAAACAAAAACAGCTCTTTTCCAAATAAGCCAGTTACAAACCTTCAGCTGTTGACAAGCGTCTTCCCGATCTCATTCCAAAGATGATCTCTTTTCTGCTCTACGCCCTGCCCACAGCAGTGCTGGCAGATCTCTCTCCTTTGCTAACCCTTGCGGTGGCGGTCGGCTGTTATCACTGGTACAGCTCCCACATCCGAGACCACTACCCTCTTGCCTGCCTCCCTTGCCACTCCAGTTTCTTCCAGCACTTCCTGACATCTGTGGGAGTCTTACAGCGGTCCTCCCATGGTTAAGAAATGGAACATTATCAATAGGATACTGCCAGCCATTGGTAGGTGGGTGTTTCCTACAGAACTTTCCCAGATTAAACAGTTCTGTGCTGAGCTTGAACACCATACCCTTCCAGGCACCCATAGTTATGTGCCCTTCAATTAGTGCTGAAATTGTGACTTTCTAAGATCTGGTTCTCCACCTGGCCAAAAGTGTTGATGCTATCAGTCTCCAGGGACAACCGGTGGCCTTGGGGGTAAGCATAATCTCCAATGT